GAGAAAAGATGAATATTAATGCAGAGGAAGGAAGTGGCTGGTCCTCCCCGTTTCTTTTAAAGTTATCAAGTTGATTCAGTGCCATGTAAACAGTACTATCTAGCAGAACTTCCAATCACCTCACATTGTTTAAGGCTTTAAATCTGAACGCTTGCTCAAATCTATCTTTTACCTTGTTTTCCAATTTCCCATAAATCAGAGTAGCTTTTGACCCCATGATTCTTCTCATATCCAGGACTCTTCATGCCTCTTGTACATCTTACTTCTTTTCTTGACCATTATTCATACTCTCCTAGTTATTCTGCTCAGGGTCACCCAGAGTGAACAGACTCCTGCCTCTCAGACTCCCACATACTGGTGCACCTCCCCTTATCTGCCTCTAGATTGTTCCTGATCCTGAAAGAAGTTTCTGAACTAAGGGTGCAGCACTTTTTTTTTTTTTTTTTTTTTTGCTTTTGATCTTCAAATTTCTTTAGACTTACAGAAAACTTACAAAAACAATAGAAATACTTCTTGTATAATTTTCTTCCAGATTTTCCAAATTAATATTACCACATTTGCTTTATCAGTCCTCTCACTCTTATTCTCTCTCTTTCTGTATTCTTGTTATTTGTCGTAGTTTTGTTCTATGAAGCCACTGCAAACACTGAATTAGCAAATACTGAGTCATTGTTCTTAAGGGAAATACAAGGTCAGGTTCCCATGAGCCTCTGGACACAACATTTTCCACAACTGTATTCCACAAATACAAAACTTTGTTTCATGTGTATTTCCGTTTAAAGATATCTTATTTAAAATACACTGTTGATTAAAGGTGAACTCATGGCTGACAGCACCATAACTCACACCTGAACAGAGACTTTCTAACACATATATTCTCTCCATCAGGCACAGCCTTCCCCCTCTTAGGGACACTAGACAGCACTTCAGCACTATGTCTGGGGGACATTTTAAACAGCAAAATCACTAATACAAAGCATAAGCATGTGAAGATGTTATTCTAAATAGACCATGAAAAGGACATTCGTTTACACTGTGAGGCTGAAACAAAAAGGTAGGGGATAAGTTGTTCGACCTCAGTAGGATTTGTGCTTATTTGGCAACTCAAATTTTCACCACTCTGTGCGTCTCCACAAATGACTCCAAAGGTGTCACATGTATTGATTTGGTGATTACAAATCAATTTTGGTGAGGCACTGAACTTGCAAATATGGAATCCATGAACAGTGAGGATTGGCTCTATGTATGTATATAGGCATGTGTGTTTAAGTATATACACATGGATGCATATGTAGCTATATGCACACACATATTTCTGAGTCATTTGAGAGTAAGTTGTGAACACCATACTTCTTTATTTCTAAATGACTTAATATATGTTTACCAAAACAGGGATATTATCTTCTATAACCACATTACAATGATCGCAATCCAGAACTTAACGTTAACGAAATACCATTATCACAGCTGAAGAGTTTATTTACATTTTACCATATATTTCACTAATGGCTGTTATATTTCAGAATGTAATCAAGAATCACATTTCATTTTGTTGTCGTATCCCTTCAGTCTCCTTTAATCTGTAAGAATTCCTTAACCTTTATTTGCCTTTCATTAATACTGCTTTTTTGGTTTTGTCAAAGATGAAGATGTATTAATAAGGAGAAAATTATAACAAATATAAATGAAGGGTGAGGAGAGACTGTTCTTTATTAAGCATTGTTAGTTTCTCATGACGAGGTAAATACAAAGAGGAAACACAACAATGGGAAGCAAGAACTGACATTTTGCAGCCTACTATGCCACTTTCATTTATTCTTTCTGAATTAATTTCATGTAATTTTACCTTTATGCACATGAAGACACTGAGAGTCAGACAAGTTAAGCATTTGTGGAAGATCAAAAAGCTAGCAGTGGTGATATTAGAATTCAAACCAGGTTATTAAGGTGCTAAAAACAATGTTTGTAAAACTTTTTAAAATAAATTTTATTGTGTATATTTAAGATATACAACATGCTGTTATATGATATATTAGGTAGTAAAAAGATTGCTAAAATGAAAGAAATTAACATCCATAATTTAACATACTCATATTTTTTTGTGTGTGGTAAAAACAGCTAAAATCTACTCATTTATCACAAATCCTGTATGCAGTACAATTTTGATAACCTATAGTCCTCATGTTGTACATTAGATCTTTAGACTTGTTCGTTCTACATGTCTGCTAGTTTGAACCCTCTGACTGACCTACATCTCCCCATTTCCACCCCGCATCGTCCCTGGCCCTAGTAACCATTGTTTTGTTCTTTGTCTCTGTATATTTAATTTTTTTTTAAAGATTCCACATATGAGATCATGCAATATTTTTCTTTCTGTGTCTGGCTTATTTCACTTAGTAATTTCCCCCAGGCTCATCCATGTTGTGGCAAATGGCAAGACCACATTGTTTTTTAGGAATGAATAATATTCCTTATTCAAGTGTCCCTTGATGAACACATAGGTAATTTCCACATCTTGGCTAGAATAATGTTGCAATTAATATGGGAGTGGTAGTTCTAATTTTAATTTCTTAGAAATCTCCATGCTGTTTTCCATCATGGCTGTATCAACCTACATTTCTGCCAACAGCACATGAGAGTTTCCTTTACTCCATACCCTCATCAGCATTTATCTTTTTTAATTTTCATTTTTATAGTAGACATCCTAATGGCGTGAGGTGGTTCTCATGATGGTTTTGATTTGTACTTCCCTCATGGCTAATGATGTAGAACACTTTTTCATATACCTGTTGGCCATTTTTATGTTTTCTCTGGAGAAAGATCTATTCAAGTCCTTTGCTCATTTTTCAATAGGATTATTTGTTTTTCTAGTATTAAGCTGTCCCAGTTCTTTTTTTTTTTTTGAGATGGAGTTTCGCTCTTGTTACCCAGGCTGGAGTGCAATGGCGCGATCTCGACTCACCGCAACCTCCGCCTCCTGGGTTCAGGCAATTCTCCTGCCTCAGCCTCCTTAGTAGCTGGGATTACAGGCATGCGCCACCATGCCCAGCTGATTTTTTGTATTTTTTTAGTAGAGATGGGGTTTCACCATGTTGACCAGGATGGTCTCGATCTCTTGACCTCGTGATCCACCCGCCTCGGCCTCCCAAAGTGCTGGGATTACAGGCTTGAGCCACCTTGCCCGGCCTGTCCCAGTTTTTTATAAATTTTAAATACCAATCCCTTCTTTGATATATGGTTTGGAAATATTTTTTCCAATCTGTAGGATGTTGTTTCAGTTTGTTGATTGTGTGCAGAAGCTTTTTAGTTTGATGTAATCCCATTTATTTATTTTTGGTTTTGGGCCTGAGCTTTTGATGTGATATCCAAAAAAAATTATTGCTAAGGCCAATGTTCAGGAGCTTTTCCCCTATGTTTTTTTCTAAGAGTTTTATTATTTCTGGTCTTGCATTTAGGTATTTTACCCTTTTGAGGTAAATTTTGTGTACAGCATAAGTCAAATTTCATTCTTTTGCACATAGAAATCTAGTTTCCCCAGCCTCATTTATTAAAGTGACTATCCTTTGCTTACTGTGTCTGTCCTCTTGGTGCCCTTCTTAAAAATTAGTTGATTATGTATGATTGAATTTATTTCTAGGCTCTCTATTTTCTTGTGCCTTCATGTCTGTTTTTACACCAGTACCATACTGTTTTGATTACTATCACCTTGTAACAGAGTTTTAAATCAGAAAGTATAATACTGCCAACTTTTGTTTCTCAGAATTGTTTGGCTATCCAGGGTCTTTTGTGGTTTCATATAAATTTTAGCATTACTTTTTCTATTTCTGTAAAGAATATCATTGGATTTTGATAGGGATTGGATTAAATTTGTATATTGCTATGAGGAGTATGACGTTTTAACAATATTCTTCTAATCCATTAGCATGGAATATCTTTCCATTTGTTTGTATCCTCTGCAATTTCTTTTATCAATGTTTCGTAGTTTTCAGTGTGCAGGTCTTTTACCACCTTGGTTAAATTTATACCTAAGTATTTTAATTTTTTGATGCTATCATAAATAGCCTGGTTTTCTTGATTTTTTTTCTCAGTTAGGCTGTTATTTATGCATAAAAAATACTAGTGGGCCAGGCGCAGAGGCTCACATCTGTAATTCTAACATTTTGGGAGGTCAAGGCAAGCTGATCACTTGAGGCCAGGGGTTTGAGACCAGCCTGGCTAACATGGTGAAAACCCATCTCTATTGAAAATTTAAAAAGTTAGCTGGGCGTGGTGGTGGGTGCCTGTGATCCCAGCTACTAGGGAGGCTGAGGCAGGAGAATTGCTTGAACCCAGGAGGCAGGCATTGCAGTGAGCCACTGAACTCCAGCCTGAGCAACAGAACCAGATTCAGTCTCAAAAAATAAACAAATAAATAAATAAATTACTGGTTTTTGTATGGTGATTTTGCTTCCTGAAACTTTACTGAATTTATTCGTTCTAATAGTTTTTTTGTGGAATCTTTTTTAACATGCAGAATCATGTTATCTGCAAGTAGATATAATTTTACTTCTTTAAATATACACCTAGTATTACCAAGAGGGCATCCAATGAAATATTAAGTAATCTCAGAAACCAGTGATTGCTATGCTGTCTTTATTTTTTCACACCCTAGCTTCAAATGCAAAAACATAAAAACAATACAAGAAAAACCGAAGAGAAACATTAAAACTTTTTATCTGGAGGAGACCAAGAGGTAATCTCATTATCATTTTTACCATCAGCTTTTCCCATGGGCATGCATTTACTTTATTGTTAATCTTGACTTTTAAGATTTGTAAAAGCACTATTTACAAAGCTGTTAGCAGGATCTCCCTTAAGGTAGGAGATATATGGACTTGATTAGTCTGTGTTCTCAGGCATGTTGGAAAGAGATATCCTGGGAGTTAAGTTTGAATTTAGGGACTGTAATTCCAATCCAGGAAAGTCTATCTTCTTAACTAGAATACTTGTTCTTCTCCCAGGGGTATAGTGAATATGCTGCATGGTCAAATTGGTTTGTATAAGTGGAAACTGACTGTATGTGAGAACATCATTCTGCAGACATGATGTTTGGTGGCATTTGAATTTCTAAATAAGAGCTAAGCAAGTTTCCCTGATTCTTCTGCCTTTATTTGGAAACCTATCATCAGAAACGTCAAACTGGAAGAAATGTAAGAAATCACCTTGCATGACTTTCTAATTTTTGAGTTTTTTCCTATTAAAAGAGATGTATATCTTTAAAAAGTAACATTCACAGAGCTTTAATGATGTGCTAGATGTATTTCATTACTTAATTTTCACAATTGTCAGTGGTATGTGTTACTATTTACAGTTTACGGATGTTAAAACTGAGGCACAATAATTTGCCTTAGGTCACACAGCTTATAAGTGATCAACTGAAGTCTGAAGCCAGAACTAACCATAAAGCTTCTGCTCATGTCATTACATCACTCTGATTTCCTGGGTCTAATATTTCCATCCTCTCTGAGGGATTTGTTACTATGCTAATAGTTATTAATAAGCATTAGTGGTCTTAACAAAAATTATCAATTAGGTAAAATCTTCCTAGCCATAATCTTAAACAACACCTTTGTATATCTAGCTCATATGTCTTGGTCCAGTGTCTTTAAAGATTTATTTCCATTATCTACCACTCGAAATTTCTCAGATCTGAAGATGTCACCTAGATAGATAAATTAGTATTTGTAAATGTGAAAATGGGAAATAACTAGATGAGTACTTTTGGGAGACCATATACACATTTTTTTTCTAAGACAGTGTTAACATTGGTGTCCAATTCTTTGAGGTGAGATTTTTCAGCCAGTCCATGGAAAGTGGATTGACATCAGGTCTACTAATGAATAGAGAGGAGAACATCTGTAAAAATAGGTTATTAATTCTCAAAAGTTCTCTGTTATCTGTTTTATAACTCCTGACAGGTTAACAAAATCCATGCAGGAAATAAAAATAATATATTAGGAGATATAAAGGAGTCTGAGTTCTGCAGGACCAAACAGGTTTTTATTATTAAATTATGCATAGAGAAATTTAAGAATGCTTGTGAAAAGTTTTTCATTATTTTTCAGGCATGAAGATTTGAAAAAAAATATAGTATCAGAAATATCAAAGTTCAAATAAAGCAGTTATAGTTTCAACTGTATGTTGAAATCAACCAACAATCTCTAAAGCTACAGCATTTCGTGTATTTCATTGTGCAAGAGAGCTTCAAATAGCTGGAGAATTTTACAATACCTTTAGCCAATACCCTTTCCTTATGAAATGGAACATGGAAAAATTTTTGTTGCATTCAAAATGTCTGAAGATTATTGCATGTCAAAGGAAAATTCACTTCTGAGTTCTATGTGTTTAATGCTGCTGAATGAGAAAAAAATGAAATATTTGACCAATTTCTTACAGAGCTCCAGATACAATTAGTCTACCCATGAATAGAAACATGAAAACTTAGGAAATGAAATGGAAACTCATCACGATCAAATACATGTTACCTTTTGCAATTTCAAAGGAAAAAACCTACACATATACATATAAATATACATGTGCACAGATTTTTCTATCATCTAGTACCAAATTAAGTTACATAATAGAGGGTAGGAGAGTCAAACAGCTATAAGGCAGGACAGTGAAGGTAAATTGCTTTTTTGCCAAGAAAAGGTACTATCTCTGATTCTCCATACTCAGGGTACTGAGAAGAAAATTTTGTAAAATAAATAAATGCTTACCAGAATCTGCATTGATCTGCTCTAGTAAAGGCATTGCATTTCACACAGTTACTGTGATTGGAGCTGCCACCTTGTTATGCTTATAGTACTCTCATCTGCCCTTGTTCATCTAGTATTTGTGAAGGCCTAGATGAATTAACAGAGAAATGATGCATCACTACTACATCCTTCAATTCTTTGATGGTAGTAGATATCTCTGCAATTCTTTGTGAGACGTGGTATTTCTTCTGATTTACTTTACTTGGATTATTTACGTTGGCCAGAGGACACAAATATCAGGGGCTTCCTACTATATTTCCCATTCCAGCCAATGTGACCTGCTATTTATATATCTACATCAATTACACATTTATAGCGTGAGGAAATAACCAGAGTGAGTTCAAGGACCTATGGACCCACTATCAGATTATCCTGAGCTATAACTGCATTGATTGCTTGGCTTCTCTAAGCCCTCTTTCAAATTAGAGGACTAAGATTGTATTTTGCATTGCCTTGGGAGGTCTAGGTATTGCTTGTTCCTCAGTGGCCTTTACCCTGGCAAATAGCTTAGGGCTTCTTTGGAGCAAGAAAGAAAGATAATTATTATATATTCCTCTGGTTGACTGCAGGGTCATTCTTCAAAGAGATCTTATCTCCCATTCAAACAATGTTGACACATGTAGATCTAGAAGCTGGATGAATAAGGCAATTTTCCATTATGATACCTGACATCAGCTTTCTGATCATTGGGTCTTAATTTCTTTTCTTATTGCACAAATCAAACAACTTAGAATTTAGCTATTTTATCTCAGCTGTATAGGCATCATGATTTATTCACCATCACTGGAAATCCCTGTGTGTCTCGCATGCTAAGTACCTCTCCGGTCTTGATGCCATGATATTAATTACGTCTACCTTGCCTCTGATGGTTAGGTATTTGCAACAACCTTCTGCCAATCTGGAGCTTATTTCTACAATAGAGAACAGTCACCAGTGAGCTTCTCAAAAATTCCAGCTCCCCGAACGACAAAATATTGATCCCTGGGCTTGATTAGAGATGGGCAAATAGACAAGAGAGGCCAGAAATAGACTCATACTGGGGAATTTGGTGTAAAACAGTAATAAACTTACTGGCCAGTGGGAAATCAGTGAGGAAAAGATATAATAAACAGGGCATATAAAATAATAAATAATCCAATAAAAATTAGCTTGGATTAAGGAAAAATAATCACGTTCCTAGGTCATATCCATATCTCACACCATACAAAAATAAATTCCAGATGAAAATATTATAAAGAACAATACTAAAATGTTTTATAAGAACACACAGGAAAATTTCAGGGTAAAAACTTTTAAAATAAGAATTCAAGAACGAAAGTCACCTACTCTAATAGAAATATTGATAACTTTAATAATTCTAATATTAAAACTATAATCTGAAAGGCAAGTGACAGATTTGAAAGAAAATGTTTACAACCTTTCAGCACAGGATTCATTCCCAGACTATTCAAAGGATACCTACCAGTAAGTAAAGATAAAATCTAGTAGGAAATAAATAATATGAATAGTTAATTCACAGGAGAGGTTATCCAAATGGGAAATAATAATGAAAATTAAAGTCACAATAATTTAATATTTTACACATATCAGACTTATATAACTTTAAGTATTTTATACCTTCAAGATTGCAGAGGGTGAGGAGTAACAACAGTTTTATGCACTGCTATTGGCAAAATTCCTAGTAATATCTAAGAAAGCTGAATGTACTCACATCCTATGATGCAGCAAGTCCATTTCTAGGATGATTATAATGAGATTCACATGGCAAATGTCTTCCTCCCTAGCTTATCATGATATTTAAAAGTCCTACAAACAGATACATGCCTTCAGATTAAGTTAGTGTTTATAAAAGGTTGTGATTGAAGTGCAAACAGCTTTCATTGGAAGAATAAATTATTAACCAACAACATGGATTATTTAATGAATGTAGCTTTCATCTAGAGAACAGTACTAAGAGAGTGAAACATCTGAAAAGTTAAAATTAATATTGCCTGATGGGAATAGACACATTGTTATCTTTTTTCCTTGTCCAGTTTTGATTCAGCTATGTCTTCTTAGCTAAACCTCTGCTGAGGTTTATAGGCATCCAGGTTCAGTGAGGTGTTTGGTTCTGCAAAAGCACCAGCTGAGAATACTAGTGAGGGGGTTTCCCCCATGAGTTCAAGAAACACTTGGAGATCTGCATGAGAACATGGATATAAGGATTGTAAAGTGAACAATTCTAGAAAGTAGCTGGATCCTGTAAGCATTATGGATGAGGGTTATAGGTAACATTGGCTCTCATGAATATTGCTGGTCTTCCTGACTTCCAAAGGAAAATAAATAATTGAGTCATTCCAGCACTGAGCCTGGGAGACTGTGAGGAAAAGGGAAGCTTTCTCAAAGTTGATCATCCACCAGAGGATAAGAAGGGACACTGTTGAGCAATCAGCCATTTTGGGGAATGCTGCCTCTTAGAGAAATCTAAAAACCATTAGTCCCAGTGAGCAGTCAAATACAAAAAAAAAAAAAAAAAAAAAAAACCCACAAAGCATCCAAAATCATTATCATCATCATCATCATCATCACCATCATCTTAGTGGTTCCAAAAGCCTGAGAAAAGCTATGTGATAAATAGACCACATGCCCAGTGAATTAGAACTACTGAAATAGGCAGATGATAACATGAGCAGAAAAATAATAATCACACTTGAAGGGATTAAAATTGAATTAGAACTGCCAAAATAGGCAGAAAACATATAAACAGGAAAACAATAATCACATGTGAAGAAATTAAAATAGAACCACATACCCCCAAAATGACCTAAGTGCAGTACCTAAGCCAAAAACATAACTTCATAACTAAATAAATCAATGGATCGACTATATGCTGCCAGCAATAAGTAGCAACTGGGGCTAACTTACCCTCCCATAGTGAAAAAACAGAAAATCGAAAAAATGTATGGAAAAACAGTTTTCTGACAGTGGGCAGCAGGTGGTGAAGGTTATAGTAATCCCAAGAGAAGGCACAAGAAGAGGCGAGCCCTACAATCTATTCATCAATTGATTTGTTGTCTGCAGGCATTTTCCAAATGATTGTGCATGTATGATCTTCCAAGCAGAGCATAGTAATTTCAATGAATTGGGAGATAAAAATAATAATTTGGGTATTTCAAGGCAGCTAAACATTTGGGCCTGAGTACCTGAGGAGAAATAACCATGCAGTAAAGAGTTCCAGGCATTTTCAGAGGAGTTCCTTTGAATCTTGTGCATTTTTGAGGTGAAACTCCATGACAATTCTGAGAGCTCACATAGATTGGGAAGGTATTTGAGTTCTGACTAGTCAGACCAGAGTGTCCTTGTTAAAAAAACAGATAATTTAGTGGAAATCCTATGAGAGTCTTGCCTTAGTA